TAGTCTTATCAGATTCTTAGATCAACGTCGAACCCAGTGGGAAGAGGTCCTATCCTCTGCAGCAGGCCAGAAAGGCGCCCTTAACGGCCTTTTAAGCAAAATGAATGCAGCCTATTCCACTGCTGCCGAGCGCGTTCCTGGCTGCCTGCCTCCGCCCCCACCCCTATACGCGCATTGTCCTCCGTTTCCCTCGACTTCGACAAATACGACTGCACTTCTCCCTCCGGACCCCGCTGTTCAGCCCAACAGGCGACCAATTGTCAAAAGTTTTCAGTTTATTGATGAAAGTGGCGACTCGCGGATGCAAAACACAAGGTCAGACATGCCAGTTGTCCCGCCACCTCCCGGATTGCCCAGTTACAACCGGACCCATGCGCCTTTAGCCACCGGGATAACTCCTCAGAGTTTTCGGGGTAATTTCAACGTACCTGTGCATTCACATGTATAACCATCACTCGAAAATAGGATAGCCTGGGCATTTTTTTCATTTCTAGTTCTTCTATAATATTGATTGTCATTTCCTGAGGTTAGAATTAGGGCACAAAATCTTCGATCAAACCCTAGGGTATAACTTATTTTGGCCATGTTTATAGAATACTTTGCAGACTGATTATCCTATAATTCTTTTACATAATTGTCGAATGTCAAACAGTTTTCGTGGCTCCTTTATCCTGCCTTAAACTCTGTCGTGCGTCAGCCTGATTAGCATCTCAGCTTTTATTGTCTACCACCAACACTTACGGCATAAAGCGATAAGACTACTAAACAAATTTTGTAAAGGTAATATAGGTAATATAGACTTTGTCAAATTCAACTTATTTTTAAAGTAATGTCACTTCCTTTGTCATCAGCACGACCACTTTTTGTCCTTATTTCGAATTAAACTCAGCCGGCGAGTTTTTACGCTCTCTTTCGGGCTCTTATTCCCTTTTGGAGACGAAGTTGTTTAGTAGAAAAGCAATTAAGGTCCTAATAACAATTCTTCGACTTTGCTGACGCAATTTCGAAGGAACTAACTCCTTTTAAAGTGTAGTCTTAGGCAATCTCACTTACCCCCTAGTCGTAACACCATGATTCTTTCGTGTCAGCCTGCCATCTTCGCCCTATCTGTTTTTTTTGTTTGCCTCATTATGTGCCTCAAAGCAATTTATTGATTGCACATCTCAAACAGTTCATTTCTACTAATCATAGTTTCATGATATTCTTACTTATCTGCCTTGTTGGACTTCGTGAGAGGTAAGTGCCATAAAACTACTCAGTAAGCTCCACTGGTTTACCTTCCTAGCCTATTCACTTGATTACGGAATCTCTGTCAATAAGATAGATAGACATGGATTGACTCTCGTGCCTATACTTGTCTGGGCATTGTCTAGGACACCGCCCCCACTGTTGTGGTTCGTTGGCTAATCGCAAGCCCAAGTTTACCCATTGTGTTATTCCACTCATGTGAATCGGAGACCGCAGGGCAAGGAACTGCTCAACGTCTTATCACATTTACCGATGTTTTGCGTTCGCCACTTCGATACCATCGCCATTCAGAACTGCGTTTGGGAGAGTTTATGTCCCAAAAATATCACACTCATTTTTGTACGGACGCACAACTTCTGACAATGCCCACCCTTCAAAATTGGTTTATGCTAAAATTTAAGCAAACATCGTTTGGCACTTACTGTTTGCAAGAAAACAAATAAGGTGCCTATGCCAGAAGAACTAGCCTGTGTATCGCCGCGTACAGCAAATAAGCGGGATGACCAACACTCCCAAAGTTGCCGTCTATGATCTGGCGCTCAAAACCAAAACCTACAGGTTGTGTTCTGTATCTTATCTAGCGAGATCAAATTTGTTACAAAAGCTGGGGACACGCCTGCTGGCAAAGCTGATCGAATGATCTATCGTACAGTTGACTAGCTTGTCATCGGAAATTGAGCTGCAAAATGACAGCAGATCTCTCATTTTTTTCTGACAAAAATTGGTTAACTGTCACCAACCTCAGATTTTAGCACTCGAATAAACACCTATTCTGGCATTTAACTGACGGAGATGTAGATATACACACTTCCTTCTGGGAGACAAATGCAGTTCTCGCATTTCCTTACGATAAGAAGCCGTACAGGCATCATACATAGCTGAGATCATATGCCGCCAGTACGGCTGTGCCTGCCTTTCCTGACGAGGTAAAAAGTCCCTTCGCCTGAACAGTTCGGCTTTTGTGTTCTTCAACAGGGAGTAGCAACCAGTCGACTATTCCACAACATAACTAACCGCTCAGCTGTACTGCATGAGTAACTAACGAGTGTAATTTAAAACAGATGGTGTTTAACAATCCTCTTGATTATATAGACTCAGCTTACTCAGACTGCTAAACCTCCATAATTCACAATGCGACGCATTCAGATGGTGTCATCGGTTTTCTGTCTAGATGAATGGTTGAGAGCGTTTTTTTGATGCTACCCCCGACGTCCACCCGGTTTGTGTTTTCACCTGTTCCGCTCCATTGCATGGCAGACTGAGTTCTTCATCATGCTCGAGTGTACCAACACGTCGTTATATTAGATCTTAGTCTGTACTTAATGGGTCTTGACCACACCAATGTCGTATCGGCCAGTTCCTCTACAAGAAGTAAACACGTGCCTCAGACGGACGTGTAGATAGCCAGCTCGATCTTGAAAATGGACCTCCGTGACGAAAATACTGGTCTCGAATTTAGTAGTCAGTGATATCTGCTCGCTTGCGGTGAAAGTTGGAACTTTTAGGTTGGTAAGTGGCGTATGATAGCCTTGATTGGACTCGCCTAAATGGGTAAGCTAAAGTCAACTGAGCCGTAGAATTAATCTTTCATTCTCAACTCTCTTTTGTTACCTCCGAAATCTGTGAAAGCAGCATAGGCTCAGTTGGGAAATGAATTAAATGCACATACCTCTGATCAATGCAGTCCTAACTGTTGCTGGCGTCTAGATAACCAACATCAAGTGAAGACTATCAGGCTAAAACCCGGTCCCCTTAAGTTTCAGGGCTTGACGCACCAAGTGGCTACAATCCGTTTGGCAGTCTACCGCCACCCACCTGTACTGAAAGACGATTGTCCATGTTGCCGGGTCATGCCTAACGAATGCCGTCCTGAACTTAATGGGTACAGAAGTGTCCACAGGGTCTTCCTGGCGCCCCCAAAATACCTGAGCTTTATTTTTTGAAAAACATTGTGTTTTAATCGAGGTTT